AGCGCATCCAAGATTTGCAGGTATTTGCCATCGAACACATCCCTGAGCATTATTTGGCACCTGAGCGGTTCCAGCGGCTTTGCAGGAGAGAAACATACTGGATATACCAGCTCAACACCTTAGTTCCCAATGGTCTGAATGAGGAATTGGAGATTCTCACCCTCACCCTCATCTGATCCAGTTATACTAGCCATTATAATTTCCAAACCTCAGCCCCCATCAACATAGACATATCAATATGCTCTTTATTGATGGAAACATAGACATACCAATATGCCCAATCTGAAGGCTCTCACTTCCACTGGCCATGGAAGCCCTACATGTTGTTAATCCTTTTCACCTTTTAATAGAAGACAATATGAAACACATCCACATAATTGAGTCTCCTCGATTTTTTTAATCAATTCATGCCCCAAGTTTTTCAGCCAGCTAAGTGTCCATCTGATCTGTAAAGAGGAACCACTCATTACACTCTTTACAAACAATAAACGTATACAGCTCCCCTGTCCAGTAAGGCTACATGGTCACAGCAGTATAATACAAACATCTTTGCACGGCATCATGCCCTATACACTGTTCGTTCCTGTAGCCTGTCACTTCTTTAAACCCGGCGGATCTCCGCCGATAGAATCTCCGCTACCCCTCGCGTATTACTGTTCATGGCCGCACACAAACACCCCCCACTACTCATCCACATCCTCTTCACTGTTCACACACTTAAAACAAACAAAATAACCGTTGCCCGAGCCATCAGAACACAGCGGCACAGCTGCCGATCGCAACAGATTTCTCCCGTGTTACTCTGCCCACCGACCTTTTTAAACCCGGCGAATCTCCCGCCAATGTCACTCACTTTTCTTTTCGAGCTTGAGAAAGAGGATCTCCTCGAAACGCGTTGCTCCCTCATCACTGCCCCATGCACGTCCTTCTCCAGCCTTCTGCCACCTTCACTTCACCACTTCCCAAAACACCGCTGCTAAGATCAGAGGCAGCCGCTCCCCCGGGAAACACACAGCCCCTAGTTCACATCTGGTCTTCACTTCATTCTTCTATCCCTGACTCCTTGCATCACCAGAATCTCATCGGGGCCCCCCTTGCCCGGATTTTTGACATCTAAAGTAAGTCCCCACTTTTAATCTTTTAACTTACATTTAATTTATTTTTTACTTTTTAATTTTATTTTTACCAATTATACCCCACAGACACGAGGTGTCCCCACACCATTCACACCTTCAGGATTTGCGCTCTTATTGCTCCATTTTCATGTCCACAGGTTTCTCCCCCTGTTCTTAGAGCAGCAATCCAAATTGACTGCACCCACACACAGCCCACATCCCTAAGAGAGCGCTGTGCTTTTTTCTTTTTCGTTGGTCTTCCCCAGAGCCTTTGATGGTGAGGATGTTGAGTGGAAGGGTAGCTCCCAGGTTTCGGCTCTCCAACACACCCATGCAGACACAGCTAACAGAACAACGGGGAACGCAGGGGTCCAAGACAGACACCGGACTCAGTGGCAAGTAAACACAGGGAACACACAGGAAGTATGCGTTGGAGGAGGTGCTGGATGCACAGGAAAATGCACACAGGAGATGTGCAGTGGGAGGAACACACTGGGGATACACAGGGAGCATGCGTTGTAGTAGGTGCAGGATGTACCTAAGTGATGTGCATAAACAAGAGTACAGATTAAGTGGCAGGAACAATGGGGAACATACAGTGAGCATGTGTTGCAGAATACACGCAGGCAATGTGCATACACATGGGTACAGGATAATTAATGCACACATGGATGGTCCAAGCAAGGCGGGAGATGACTCCCAGGGAGTGGAGATGGACATAAGGAAGGCACAGCATTAGACATGAGGAAGGTATAAGCAGGGACGGTGTGAAAACAGGTACACAGGGAGAAAAGTAACTAGCACAACAACAAGGAACTCCGCAAGGAGTGCTTGCAGTATTTTTCCTGGCCGGACCGCAGGCATTGATGTGCCTTGCGTTCCCGCTCGGCCGATCGCATTGCGGCCATAGGGCGTGGCTAAAGTGCCATTGAGGTCAATGCACCGCCACGCCCCCTCCTGCCTCACAACAAAGTGAGTCGGCTGTTATACGATCCAGGTCGTTCCGGCCAGAAACGGGACCGGAACATGCCCAAAGGGAAAGCAGACACACTGGAGTAAGGGCACACACAAGCAGATGGCAATCAGCGGACAGACAAGTATGGCCACTCACACCTCACAGGTGAATGCACAACGATACCACAGGGAATCACTATGGTCTGAGAGTAAGCAGAGACAATAGGAACAGCAAGGATGGAACTTCCGCGCTGGAAATCTACTGGGGTACACAAGGAATCTAGGGGCAAAAGGGACCCAGGATAAACTCCAGAAACCCAGGGGAATAACACAGTACACAGGAGGGCACAACAGCAGGAATCAGACTTGTTGCTCGAACCCAGTGAACCTAAATAAGGCAGGCAGTGAGAAGATTGGCGGCAGCCCTGTAAATCCCCATAGGCTTAAAGCCAAGCACCTGGGCCAGAGGGGAAAATCTGACATGGGAACTGGACAAAAGGGAAAATCTATCATGGATATCAAGACAGTGGGGTTGATTTACTAACCTTATAAACACGCCACGAACAAGTATACACCTCTGTAGTGTGTTCCCTCCCAGCATGATCTATTGGTGGAATCTAGACACCTTTGTAGTGTGTACACACCCAGCAGGTGTGTTGTGCAAAGCCCTGGATGAATTGCAAGGTGATGTTGTGTAAATTAGCTCTACATTGTGTTGCTTGCGTTGATGACTGCAGGAATGTAAATGCATGAGCTAACCATTTTTTCGTCTAAACTGTGAAGCAGCATTATATATGCATCATGTGCATGATTTTTCCATATATGGCATTAGTGGAAATATGCTTTTAGAGACTTTTTGGTTGATAAATACGTTTTGCTGTGTAAAAATCACACGCACCTAGTGCGTGCGTGTGTTTTAGGTTAGTAAATCACCCCCAGTGTTTTTCCACATAAGGAGTCTTGGGTAAGAACTTGAGCTAGCATCGTGAAATCCTTTATCACTACTGAAACAGTCCTCTATTCCAAGGAAAGCAGAAATACAATAAATAAATAAAAAATAAATTATATATATCTATAGATCTATCTATCTATCTATCTATATATATATATATAGATAGATAGATAGATAGATCTATAGATATATATATATAGCGATGACCAAGTAGCTGTAATTCCTTCACTCAAAATGTCTCAGCTGAATCATAATACAGGAGCCAACAATAGATAATTGACTACCATCGGTGTGTAGTTGGAATTCATCCATGCATGCCGTACATGGAGCCATCCGCTTGTTTGAGGCATGACGAGCATATCTCAGTGAGCCCAGGATCAAGACAAACCACCCAAAGTATACATATGTGTTTATTCATGTATCTCTCCATGATCAGTCTGGCTGTGTTTCTTCAGATATCCAGCCTTAAATTAACTATCCACACAGTAGGGGCACACAGTATCATGAATACACAGGTGTTTGCCATTTTGTTTTTATGGTTTAGCTGAGATGCTTCGAGCTACGGGATTACAGCTATGGTGATATATACATACACAGTCATGTGAAAAACAACGCACACAGTCTTTGAATGCCATGGTTTTAAGTTTCTAGACAAAATTAAAAATCATTTGGTTTTGAAATTAGATTAATACAACCTCAGATGAACAACAACACATGATGTATTACACCATGTCATTATTTATTTTACAACCATGAAGCCAAAATTGAGAAGCCATGTTTGAAGTACACCCTAACTGCTTTCATAGGAGAAATCGAAAATAACATCTCAGACTCTACAGGCCTCAGTTAGCATGTTGAAGGTTATTGTTCAGGACAGTACAATTAAAAAAAGACTGAACAAGTATGGATTGTTTGGAAGGGTTGCCAGGAGAAAGCCTCTTCTCTCTAAAAAGAACATGGCAGCATGGCTTGGGTTTGCAAACTTGCATTTGAACAAACCACAAGACTTCTGGAACAATGTCCTTTGGACAGACGAGACCCAAGTGCAGATGGTTGCCACCACTTTTGGCAAAAACCAAACATAGCATATCGGCACAAACACCTCATACCAACTTTCTAGTACGGTGGTGGAGGGGTGATGATTTGGCCTTGTTTTGAAGCCACATGACCTGGGCACTTTGTAGTCCGTGAGTCGACCATGAACTCCTCTGTATAGAAAAGTGTTGTAGAGTCAAATGTGAGGCCATCTGTCTTATAGCTAAAGCTTGGCCAAAATTGGGTCATGCAACAAGGCAATGATCCCTAGTACACCAGAAAAGTCCCATGAGGCATTGCAAGACTGACAGTTTACAGGCATGACTCGCAGAAGCATGTTGGGATTTGTAGTTAAAGCACAGCTGGAGGGCCAGAGTTGCCCACCCGTGCTGTACTGGATGTGGTCTGCTAGGTCCCTCCACAGCTCTGCTCCCTGTAAATGCTATGTGCAGCACAGTGATGATGCCACTGCTATGTTTACAAGGTAAAATCTAGGTTTACAAAGACATTTGATACTTAGAAGGTGTATTTTTGTCTTTTGTGGCTGTTATGGAATACATTAAGAGGAAAGTTTTTGTACCTGGTTGTGCAGCTTTAAATTTGTGAGCATTTTAGAATGTACACAGGCTTGCCCTCCCTTTGCTGTGGTAAACCTAAAATCTGCTGCCTTTCATTCTATTCTTGTTGTGCTAAGAAAAAAAATGCTTTCAGGGGAAGTTTGTAAAAATGGAAGTAAACCATGCTTGAGACAACCAATCGGAATTTACTTTCCATTTATAGTGCAGGTTCACTGTCTTTTTTTTTTTTTTCATTCCTGTACCTGTAAAAAATATAATGTTATATATGTGTTGTTAATTATTGACACAGTGGTATATAAAATATGATGTTTTCTCCACCTGTGATTACTTAGTGGCATTAGTTTTGATTGATTTTCTTATTTTTAGTGGTTTGGAAGATGAGATGATGAGAGTGCTGATACACAATGGTCCATTAGCAGTTATTGTTGATGCACTTAGCTGGCAAGATTATCTTGGAGGCATTATTCAACATCATTGTTCCAGCGGCCATTCAAACCATGCTGTCCTTGTAGTTGGCTATGATACATCAGGTAAGAGGACATTGATATCCATGGCTAATTGATTTGGAATCCTGGGTAGCTCATTATGGGTTTCACTTGTTTTGTCTGCCACTCTAGCTTTGTAATATGATAGCATAGTACATCTTCACCATCACCCCTGTTGTGAGTATGAACCCGCAAAAGCATTCAGAGCTGTAAGGCATGTTTTTGCTTAACCTCTTTGTTTCTAAAAAAAACAGGGTTTCTTCAATAAATCTGGAAATTAGTTCTGTCTGCTTGTCTTCTGCAGATAAATACCTCTGTTTATACATTCCCAAGTTGTGTTGTAAAAGTATCAATCATTGTCCAGGGAAGTGTGTAGATACAGCATACAAATGGTGCATAACGGTGCCCAAAGACAAGACATGACCATCAGCTTACCCTTTTCACAATCCCAATGCCTGGACTTCTCTGGCCAACCAATCCCAAGGAGGAGGGGGTTTAAGTCATCAACTGAACTTAAAGAAGAACTCCAGGATTTATTCAAATTAACTCTTGCAGTGGAGCTACCCTCGCACTGCAAGTGTTAAGTGCCAGGTTTGGTCTAGGGATGAAAATAAAGAAAATATACTCACCTGGTCCTCGGTCCTGCCTGGATGCCCACAGCAAGGGTTAGTTTGAAATTTAAAAAAAACTCGGAGTTCTTTTTTTTTCTGGTTCCTGTCCCATGTTTCCATGGGATTAGGCCAGCAGTGTTTGTATAAACATGTATGTTTGGGCAGATCAAGGGTGTATGTCCTTGTTATAAGAATGTCTAATTGCTCTTTCCCAATGCATGACATTTAACACACTTATCCTGACCTGGGAGTCATAATGGAGAGGTTCTTTGGGCACTGTAAAAGGCCTTTTAAGTGTTTTCATTGGAATATCAATGAAGATGCCATTTTTAAAACTGTTTCAGTAGCTGATAATCCTTAGGGCTCTGAAATTTTACAAAACAGGGAGGTAAAACACAAGGCATCATAAAGAATTACTGGTAAGGAATGATGCACCAAAGCTGGGTTTCTCGTCTGTGTATTTGGAAATGAAATATGTTTAAGCATTATATATGAACCCAGTTACACTATTCTGGCATATTGAACGATTGATCTTGTGCCAGATATTGTTTTTCATTTTAGTGGCTGGGACATATTCAATACAATGCAAATTTGTATTTCTTCCTCTACTTTGTGGTTCTCTTTTTGCCAGTAATGTCTCTCCTGTATGGAATATTAATTGCTTTTTCTTGGTTTTTTTCAGGTGATATTCCTTACTGGATTGTGAAAAACTCTTGGGGTACATCTTGGGGTATAAAGGGATACGTGCATATAAAAATGGGAGTTAATATATGTGGTAAGTTTAAAAGATCACTAAAAAACAAAACTATCCACTAACAATCCTATTCCCTGCACTTAGTTAAAGAATAACTTTACTTTTAGTTTAGTTATCCGTTAAATGGCTAGTCTTTCCCACAGCATCTTATATTCACTGTTCCTTGCTCCTTTCCTGCCACTGGCAGAACTACCGCTGCAAAGTCTTATGGCTGGGCAGTTTCTCCTGCAGGGAAAAATCTCCATTCATTCCTATTGAGAGGCTGTGCAACTTTGGGACCCATAATGGAATGGAGGTTTTCCACACATGCAGAGAAGAAGCCGTGCAGCCAAAAGACTTTGCAGTCATGACTGTACAACTACTAGTAAACTGCCAAGCGAATATATGATATGACAGATGAGTATAGGACTTTGCGGGTGGAGGAAGAGGATAAAAATGGGTCAGTAAAAGGAGAACTGTGACAAGTACAGTTATCCTTCATGCATTGCTTATACATTTATTCCACATAGTTGAGGTTTATTCCCACAGCTTGAGAAAACATTTCATGCAGCACCCGAAACAGCTACTGTGATACCCCTGTAGCCGTATAGATACAATAAAGTTTGCAAATTTTTTAGAATTACCTGCTTAAACTAGTCACACAGAAACAATTCTACTCTGAGAAGGTTCTCATTTTATCCATGGTCACCTGGTAAAAGTTAGTTACATTCAACTGGACTTGTTCTGTAATATTGAAGACATTTTGCTGCTTATTCAAGTCCATTATTTAGTTCTAACGAGTGCTGGGAAATGTGTCAATGTAGATGATCATTTTCCAAGAATATAACGGGAGGTGTGAAAGTTTGTGAAACCTCCTTGTTCTAATAGCACAATCCAATCACCATGGTGCTTCACTTATTCACATCTTTATTGAGCATATTGTTTAAGTATTCACAGTCCAGGCTGGAAACTGTGCACAACTTGACAGCAACAGCCTCCAACCCTTTTTCCTGCAGGTGTTAAAGGAGAAATTAAGACCATTCTAAATTACAAAACCGTTCATTGATATTTCTGGGGTACCTTCTGTGGGCATTTTAAGGTCAGCCAACAGTATTTCAGTTGTATTGAGGGCTGGATTCTTACTTGAGTATTCCAGAATAGAGATTTTCTTCTGTTTGAGCCAGTCTGTTTTTGATTTACTGGGTATTATAACTATGTTCTCGTAAATAGTTATAATATTGAACTCCCTCATACTGGCGAAAGATTGGAAGCACGATGATTAAGGCAAACTAGTATTGTGGTCTGATTTACTGGTAAGTGTCAGATCACTGTCTTTTACATCACCTAACATTGGTCAAGCTACAGATAACAAACTGCCACCCTGATGTTCTCTTGGATTTTTTCTTTTTTTCGGTATCAAGGCCTTGAGGCAGCAAATTCCTCCATTCACCATACTTCAAAGAAGAACTCCAGGAAATGGTTATATTAACCCTTGCAGTGGGGCTACCCCTGCACTGTAAGGGTTAAGTGCTTGTTTGTGCCTAGGTTAAAATAAAAAATTAGACTTACCCGAAGCTCTGAGCTGGCTTCTTAGACTGGTCCTTACAGTGTCTCCTTCCCCTCCTCTGTAGCGGTCGAAGGTCCCGTAAATCATCACGTTTATACACAGTGCATAGACTTGAGGACACTGAGAAAGATTCCAATGCTACAGCGGTGGAGGAGACAGGCTGGAGGGAGCGCTGTAACAGCTGGCCAGCTCGGAGCTTTGGGTGAGTATAACTTTGTTATTTTTTTAACATAGACACAAAATGAACACTTAACTCTTGCAGTGCAGGGGTAGTCTTACTGCAAGGGTTAAGAAAGTTTTTCTGGAGCTCTTCTTTAATCCCTTCCCGACCGATGATGGGATTATCCCATCACAATGGTTCAGTTCGTTGACAGTGACAGGATAATCCCCCCGTGCTGCACAATTAGCGCTGGTCCATGAAGGGACAAGCGCTCATTGGGTTACTGCTGTTTATGGGTCCCTGGGGGTCCGAGGTAGACCCCCAACAGCAGATGTGATCGCAGAGCTGTGACAGTCACAGAGCCAGAGTTGCCCACGAGTGCTGTAGTGGATGTGGCATGCTAGGTCCGTCCACAGCTCTGCTCCCTGTAAATGCTATGTGCAGCACAGGGATGATGTCACTACTATGTTTACAAGGTAAAATCTAGGTTTACAAAGACATTTGATACTTAGAAGGTGAATTTTTGTCTTTTGTGGCTGTTATGGAATACATTTAGAGGAAAGTTAAAAAACGGTATATAATATGCGTAGGTGCAATGAATGATGGAAATTATGGTTAAACAAACGCATAGCAGAAATGGCAAAATTGCTCCGGTCCCCTGGAACAAAAACAGTATCTGAAGCTGTGTCAGTAAGGGGTTAAGGCAAGAATTAGGGCTTATCTCCTTCAAACACAGCATTGCTTGTTTCCACTTCATCTTTTGTCTTGTATGTCTACAACCTTTGTCCCAGAATCATTGTGGAACATCAGGGTGGTCTATTCCAAGCTGTGGCAATGTCTTCTTAGAGTGGTTGCATCCCCCAAGGTCTCCTTTTACAAACTCTATTCCTACTCAGTGTTTCAGTGTTTTCCAATTTCTTATAGATGGCTATTTTGTCGTATTACTTCAAAAGCAAACCATGTTTTATTTATTTTTCAGGAATTGCAGATTTTGTAGCCTATCCAGAGATGTGATTTGGATGAAGTATATAAGCGTTTATGAAATTTCAGATGATGTCTTCATGAAGATGCCTCATCTAGATGTATTATCATAACCATGCACATCACCTAGGCTTAGGGATGTTTGATGTGTTTAGCAAAATATTCTTAAAGGGGCATTACTATCCAGCACAAATGAGGTTGTGACAGGCTAAATACACAATTTTGATAAAGGGAAAAACCACAACAAGACAGCATTTGGAAGAACAGTAACAAAGGAGATTGTATTACGAGCTGAGTGTATAAAGGAATAGTGTTTATGGGGCCAGTTTACCTTCTTAAGATTCTGTTTTTTGGACACCATTTTGAAGCAATAGGTAAAAAAACGGCACTCACAAGGGGATCCGTCCATCCAATACTTTATTTGCAAAAAGACTTAACAGCAGCAAACAAACAAACAAATGCTTACATGTTTCAGCCCCCAAACTGGGCCATTAAAAAAAAATTTTTTTTTGATGTTTCCTTGCTACGACTAAGTCCCAGTTTGGGGGCTGCAACATGTAAGCATTTGTTTGCTACTGTAATGCCTTTTTGCAAATAAAGTATTGGATGGACGGATCCCCTTGCGAGTGCCGGTTGTTTACCTATCTGTCAGTGAAGGCTGCGGCTGAAGCTTTACCAGGCACGGAGGTTCAAGCAGTGAGACTGGAGACACGAGGGTAGAGCTGCTCCATGTTTCTAAACTGCTTCAGTATTGAAGCAACCTTAGCAGTTTGGCCACTTTTTGGATAGGGTTTGTTATCTTTTATTTCCCAATTTTAACTTTTATTAGCAATAGAAAATACATTTTTATACACATCAATATACTACTTTTTGCTTCACTGAAAGAGCGACAACCTCAAAATAAACAGGCAGCATGTGATCTAATTTTAGAGTGGATCATAGCATCTTGTACACTACAGGCTGCCTTCTTTTGAACACACTAGACTGGATGCTGCAGCCTCCCCGTCCTCCCATAATTGTATTACTTTGTTTGATTGCCAGCTTTAGGGCTAGCAGGATATAAGCCAAGTAATTGACAGGTGCACAGTCTATGGCAAAATCCTGTTCTGTTTAAACAGGCCCTTTAATATTAATCAAATCTGCACATTTCTATTACATGTATGCACTTAGCTCCATGATCAGCTTCAACACTCAGGCTGGAGAAGTAGGATGATGCTGCTACTGCCACATTTCCAGAACAATGGCTCTGCTTTTGTTTTAGCATGCCAGTTTACTAGTTTTTACCAGCCTATCTCTAACAGAGAAACCATAGACATCCAGGGGAATATTCAGTGTTTTATTGCATTACATAATGTTGACATTCCAATAAAGGGCATCTGTTTTTTATTAAAGGCAAAGCTAAGCCCTTTTACATTAGCTCATGATAGACATCACTGCCACAATTATACAGATTTGCCTATTGCTTGTTAATATGTCCAGACCAAATATACAGCATGTAAGGAAATATATTTGAGTTTGGGAGTCATTAAAAATAGCAACAAAGACTCAATTTCAAGAGATTGTGTTGCTACTGTTTAATATATACAGCATATACAGTGTATTGTAGTAAATACCTGAGCTCCCTGACATTTCTCCAAGGGGAATTCCCATTGCACTGCAACTTCAAGTATAACTGAACCCAAGAAAAAAAATGTAATATATTGCATTTTCCCATCCTTAGATGTGATGGCTGCATTCGTTTTTTTGGGTTTTTTTTCAGGCCAATAATAGTTTCAGCTAGAGGTGCACCAAAAAAAATAATTCAGAAACGAAACCAACATTTTAAAAACTAAGGCCAAAACCGAAAAAAAAAAATTATTTTAACTTTTTCAAATTTTTTCAAATACTTTTATTTGTATTTTTTATAAACTTTAAATTTTTTTTATATATTCCTTTTTTATTAAATATTTTTATTTTTTACTTTTAGGGGTTTTGGAAATTATACGGGGTCTAAACCCCTGATATTTCCCTTTTTAAAATAGAAGAGATTAAGGACACAGTCCTCAATCTTTTTTTCTGCAGCCCCGGTTATAAATGAACAGGAATTCCTGTTCATTCATAACCTGTGGAGATACCTGTGGAGTAGGTGATGTAGATCACTTCCCATTCATTCATAATTGATCATATAGTAACCATACTATGTCCTCAATTATGTACAAACACTCAGCAATCACTGATCGCTGAGTGTTTGCACTTGTTTCCCTCTTGACACGCTGTCACAGGAGGCTGGGCGAGCAGTGCGGGAAGGAGAGCTCAGCCTCCTGTGACTGCACTGCAAGCTGTCTCTGCCCACACTGCTCTCCTTTGATCTGTGACAGGAGGCAGTGGGGAGGTGAGACGCCGGCCACTCACGGTGCTTTCCTCCCTCTGCGCTCGGCCGCCTGTGACAGTTTCTTTCCTCCCCACTGGCACACAGAGCAGCGCCCAGCAGGGAGGAGAGAAAGAATGGATGCACCGCTATATGGGCCAGAATATGGCTCTTTCGACATTATGCCAAAAGTGCCATTTTTGGCCGATATTTTTTCGGCGGCCGATATATCGGTGCATCCCTAGTTTCAGCAAGTATAGAGAATACATGCAGTGTTCTTGTCACTTTCTGTGAGATGAACTGGAAGAAAAAACAAGGTTATCTTGTATAAATGACTAATCCCATCACCCCCCATGTATGACAAAGGGCAGACATGTTTTGCCTGTGTGACAACAATAGCCACCCCTGTAAATACAGTGTAGAAATGAAGGGACAGGTAGTGTGTCATTCACATGATTACTAGGTAAAACTAAAGGAAAAAAGCCTAAGAAAAGATTGCAGCCACCACATCGAAGGATTGGTAAGCTGCAATATATTACATTTGTGTTTATAATTTAGATATGCCTCAAGTATATATTTGTGTTCCCAAACCTCTGTAAATGAGGTACATTGATACAGAAAGATAAGGCTGAAAAGTCTTTTTAAATTGACTTTAGCTTTGAGTGGAATAACCCTTTCAGCAACTAAAAACGTATAAAAAACAACAGTTAGGAGTTTCTTCATAAACATAAGGGATTGAGGATTGCGGATGCGTGGGATCCACTTTCTAGTTAGTGGTGGAGAAAGCTTTCATTTTATATCATTTGTGTCGGGAAAAATGCACATTTTTTTTACTACAAGCATCATCAAAATAATACCAGGATTAAGTAGGGAATGTATGGACGACTTTTTCTAATCAGAACTTTATTTTTACTTTCTTAGATATATTGTAGTGTATAGATCTGCTCAGTACAACTGCCAAGCTCTGAATGACTGAGCACTTAAAGGGGAACTATAGCTAATGATTTTTATTGGCTTTAGTTTTCTTTGGGGCACAGGAGTACATTTACTAATGTATTCCTGTGACCCAAATTCAGCATATAGCGGGCTACTGCCTACTATTTGCTGACAGCACAGAGCTGCACAGCAGCTGGGGAAAGATCTCGACAATATTGTCGGGATCGACCCTGCTGCCTGATTGACAGCTTGCTCTGCCTCTCTAGAGCCAGAGCCAGTTGTGCCTGCCCCCTCCCTTGTATGTCCCTCATGTGAGTGCTGGAGCAACAGAGAGGGGAGAGGGAATCCCTGTGGGGAGCGGTGACTGACAGTCAGCACTCTCTCTGCAGGCAGAAGATCTTGAACTGAATGATCAGCAGTTTGTGATCACTCAGCTCTTGAGCTACAGAGCCGGCATGTGACACTTTCAGTGTCACATGCTGGCTCAAACTATTGGGAAGAGTACGTTTTACTCCCCCAATACTTCTCCTTTAATTGTACTCTAAGAGAAGCACCTTTGCCTGCTCAGCACATGCTGCTGATTGGCTCCTTTTTCTGTAAAATACTGTTTGTAGATATTTGTTCTGCTAACTATGTACAGTAAACTTTCTGTTATGCGGTATTTAACTAACCAGAACTCTCATGTAACCAGAAAAAAAATCCCCTGCGTACTCACTGTTCTGCTGATCTGCGGCATGTATTATCCTGGAAACCATTGTGTGCCTTTTTGTCTTAATTTGTTTTTGATCACTGCATTTCAATATTAATATGAAGTCAATACAGAATTTATGGTATAGTATGGGGTATGGTATTAGTTAGAGCTATTTTTAATAGTTACTCTCAAGCAACCACAAACTACATTTATCCGGAACATACCAATCCCCATGGATGCCGGATAACGTGGAATTTACTGTAATGCTTTTTCACCATTGCCAGGGTAAAGCTATTGGAAAATTAACCCAATGATCAACAGGCAAGGGGAATGAGCTGAGTGATTTGTAAGACGTTGATCAATAAGTATTATGACATTATTCCAACCAAAACTGATATTTCTGTATGCATGTAATCCCCTGCGATAGGCTGAATGATCTATTCAGCCTATCGCAGGCAGTCCCATCAAAAGTTTAGATAAGCTTTGTACATACCACTATCCAATGTAATTCCAGACTCCCAGTTGTAGAAAGAAGAATGCATATCAACATGCAACCCTGATCATTTCCTTGTTCATAGTCCTGGTCTGGACATATGCGCTTTGTACACTATAACTAAAAGTATCAATTGGATTGCTGCTTCTAGCAGTTTGTGATCTATTTCGCCAGATATTAAATTAGTGCAGCATACAAATCATAATGTGTGCCTTCTGGCACAGACATTGAATCAAACAGGTACTGTATGTTGGGCAGCTACCTTCCTTTTTTTAACCCTGTCTGCTGTTACAGTGCAGGCTGCAGCGAAGCAGAATATAAATAATACAATGTTTACACTGCCATTGGCTAAGCGCAAGAAAAGGAAGCAGTCAGAGGTTATATGTGGAAAACAGATTTGTGCAAACTTGTTACCTATTCATAAAATGAAACAAATGTAGCATTTAGCATAGTGTGCTGTTGTGAGCTGACCTAGGATGAAGGTGTTCAACATTCATATAGTGTGGGACTAAGCTCCAGTGTGAGATTTATGGGGCCTCCAGCTGTTAAGGGCCCGAAATATGTTCCAAATAGTAGCTTATACCTGGTGTACTACGACTCCTACTTACAAACGAAGGCTATTACTATACAGCAGG